CCCAGGCAATGGCGGGGGGACAGGGCGGCCAAATCTCTGAAAGGGGGGCGGAGGCCTAGCGCGTCACTTCACCACGAAGCCAATGGGCCTCATTCCTGAAAACCCTGGAAGAGGCCCCCGCCATCCCAGGGCCCACAGACGAAGGACCTCGAGGACGCATGGCGATCTGTTGGCCCGCCAAGACCCTCTTGAATATCCCGATCAGGACAACGCAAGCACGGGCGAGGACACTCTTCCTCGAGCGAGCTCTGAATGCACCCTTGCAGTCGACAAGACTTTCAAGACGCGAGCGGCGAGTCGGGGCAGACCGCGCCCGCCCTGGAGGTCTTCTGCTTCTGTCCGATCCTGGCCTCGAAAGTCTGCCTGGAATCTGGTGCCGCATGGGGCGCCTTGGCCGCGCCCGTTTGCTTCTGCTGCACGTCTTGTTAGCTATGGACCCAAACGGCGATGGGGGTCGTCGCCCGATCGACGCCCGGTCGGGGGCCATTCGGATGTTTGGGCAGCTTTCCAAGTTCGAAGCAAAACGCCGGCATTTCGATCGCCTCGCTCATTTGCGCGGCCGCAGAGAGCGGTCGCGCGATCGCGCCATATGGGCGCAGCCCGTCCGCCTCGAGCACGCGAGCATCTGTCGCCATCAACGCGCGCGAGCTTTAGCGGACATGATTAAGTCCCGCGGACAATGCCGTTTGCCCGTTGGCTAAGTCGGCGGTGGAACACGGGATTCGGGCACGCATGATCCGCCTCCTTCGCGCACTGTGCCGCGGCAGGCACTCGCCTCAGTCTGATGTGAGAGTCTTTGTGGACATGTTCTCGGTCGAGGGATTTCTGGCTTGCTGTTCTCTTGCAGCCGCGCTCCTTCTCTGTTTCCTCTTGGATGTGTTAGATGGGGCTGTTCGGTTGTTCCCTGGCACCTGCCCCTGCCGCGCAATTGATGGCGCCGCGCTAGGAGCCGTTGGTAAGAGGCGTCATCTCACAGCCATCGTCTCAGGAGCCGCTGGGTTCATTGCGCGCAGCTGGAACTCTGAGGGCCCGCCGCGTTGCCAACCGCAGAGGGCCAGCGCAGGCCCCTCTCCGCATATCGCCCGAGCTATTCGCGCGGGGCCCCCGGTCTGGGACTTCGAAATCAGGGGGCCACCGAGAACCTCGGCGTGGACTTCGCGGGCCACAGGAGGCGCTCGACCCAGATCCAGGAGCGCGCGTGGCAATCTCTGATTCCCAATATTCCCCTGATTGCGCGGGCCGGCGTCTCCCCATTCGGGCACGCGCCGCGCCCTCAAAACTAGCGGGGCCCTGCAGCCATCCACGGGGCACGAGTGGCGGGAATGCCGGCTGCGCGGTTGGCTATCATTGGCAGTGCAGCTTCTGGCCCCAGCCGCGGCCGCAGTAGGACTCGAGAGTTCCTCCCGGGCCAGGGCTCGAAGCTGGGCCCGGTCTTCCAAGCTAGTTCTCTGCCGTGGGACACGCGGCGCCAGGCTATCCTGCACGAGCGGGCCCCGCGTTCGGCGTTGGCCACGCGCTAGGGGCGCTACAAGGCCAGCCACGTGGATGTCGAGTGGACGGAAGTGTCGAGGCCCACCAGCGCGGTTACTGCCACGCTGCCACGAGTGGGGTGGGGAGGAGTGGACGTTGATCGACGGAGCATCGGGGATGGGGGGATGGAATAATTATTCACGTGCCCTCCGTCGGCCGCCGCTCTGTTGCTGCCCTGATCGATCAAGGCACTCGTCGACGATTGCTGCGACATCCGCTGTCCCGCCCCACAAAGGGGTGATGAAACCTCCTCTGACCAATGATTTCCGCGAGGAGCTGCAAAAGGTTCCGCAAAGCACGGAACAAAACTACCTCGATGCGGCGACATTCGTGGCGGGCCGCGCTGCAGGCGGATATCTTTCCATTGTAAGAACACCTGAATCGGGAAATTGCGAATCCCTTCTGTCTCTCATGTGGGCAAGTGGCGGGCACCCCTGAACGTGGGTTCTACGAGTGCCCAGGGTTCCATATAGTCCGTCGGGATCTCGACCTTTATGATGAGGTCCAGGAAAGACAGGCTAAACCCAATCGGGATCTGTCTTCTGCCCGACCCTGATTCCGGTTAGCCCTCTTTGTCCATGGCCCAAGCGAGGTCCGTGCACTTGCGGCCCTCTTCTGAGCTGTTGGGTCCTCGGCTTTGCATCGAGGGGTCGGGTCTCGACCGGGGTAACCCTTTCTCGGCGAGGGCGGGCTCGGCTGAAGTCAACAAGCACGAAGTAGGAGGGGCCGACGATAGTGCGCATGGGCCCCCCTGAACTCCTAAGCGGTGGAAAAGATCTACGCGTTCATCGTGGCCCTCCGTCTAGCTGCTCCAGGAAGCCTGGAAATTTGCACCGATTGCCAGACCGTCCTCGACGTTTGGAATGCAGGTCCAGATGTGGGCCGCTCCCAGGCCGCGGATTCGGAGGTGTGGGATCAGGCATTTCCTGGCTGCTGATATCGGGCTCGGGAACGCGGCAGGCTTGCCCCCGGATATCCAATGTGCCGTTCTGGGGTTGTTTCGGGCACGCGCTAGCAGACATGCTTGCTGGGCGCGGTACCAAGATACATGCCGCGACTCCCGCGCTGGCACAGCAGTGCGAAGATAGCCGCGACTCGGTCCGTAGTGTGCCGTATCCTAGCGACGTGTGGCAAGCATCTCTCCTTCTGCCATTTCCCTGGTGCGCAGAAGTTTGACGGGTCCCGTCGGGCGTCTTTAGATTCCCTTCCAGCGGGTCCCTGAGGGCCATGTTGTGAGACGCGTAGGTAAAGCAGGCAAAGCTTGCAGATGTATGCGCTGTGGAAATCGCGGCTTTTCGGAGCGAGCGGCGCGCGCGCTGCCGTGCACGAGGCCCTCCCGTCTTCCTCGGGCTGCCCACCAGACCCACAGGCTGTGGCTATTGTGTTCGTCCCCGTTCCAGTGCTCTGCGCGTGCTGCTTTCGGGAGCTCCAGGCTCCGTTTGCTCGGGGGGCCCTGTCTCGGGGCGCCCCGAAACAAGGGCGCAAAAGAAGAACCCTGAAGCAGCTCATGCGTGGTCGGGAGGTCAGTCCGCCTCGCATCCTCTAATTAAAACAACCCTGTTCGTCCTGCTCCATCTGGAGATAGACGTTCCCGCAGCTTGACAAAACTTGGAGGAGGAGGAGGCGGAGGAGGAAGGGGAGTATTTTTCCAGCCTCGCTCCACTCTAGCCTCGCTTATTGACCTCCAATGCTCTCAGCAAAGTGCGGAGGCCAGCCTCGGCCGACCTGGCCAGCCTCTGACACAACGAAGACATCGCCTCACGCCTGAACTGCTACCTGGTCCTACAGGAGTAAGGACGACCTTCTGGCGGAGCACGCCGCGTTCTTTATCCAGAATACTCGCAGCCGCTGGCAATGCCAATCTCCTCTTCTTCGCCCTCATTTCTATATTGCAGCTCTTACCAATGAATGTGTGGGGGCTCTCTGGTGGAGGTGGGCATTGGGCGCGGGATGGAGGTTCTGATTATTCCCAGGCCACCTTTTGGCTCCGAGGTTTACAGCAAAATGCGGAGGCCACCCTCGACCGGCCTGGCCACCCTCTGACACGGCAAAGACATTGCCTCATGCCTGAGCTTATACCTGGTCCTACAGAGTGAGGACTACCTTCTTCTTGGCGACGCATCCCACGTTTCTTGTGTATCCATAGTAGCTGCAACGCCAGTCTCCTCATCTTTGCCATCCTTGCTGCATTTAACTGGCCCAGGGGCTTCAACCAACGAGTATTCCGGGGACCCGATGGTGGAAATGATTATTGTAGCATGACTTCGGCGGACAGGGACTCGAACTGCTGTTTCCCAAGGCTAGCCTCATTTGGCCTGGCCAGCCTGTGATCACAACATATATTAACACCCGCTTACAGCAGCGCGGAGGACAACCTCTATCGACCTGGCCACTCTGTGACCATGGAAAACCACACGTCTGCAATATACTTGTGTTGCGCACTTGCTTGCACTTGCACTCCTACCCGAGACAGCCAGCACCAGATAATCAAGGGCTGGGGTACGGGGGGGAGAGGCTCTTCTAGACTTCGGTGTTGGGGGGGACTCTTACTACCAAGGTGCGCTGACCTCGTGTGCCTGGCGGGCTCCTACCTTTTTTCCTACACTTGCCGCCGCTCGTTTCCTACAGCTGCTCCCGCGGCGCCCGCCAGGTACTCTGTGCCCCGATTCGGACTTCTGCTTTCTCCTTCGCACTAATTCAAACACGCAACAGGATCACACCGAACGTTATTCGAGCGTAAATAAAAGGAAAAGGAGGAGGAGGAGGAGGAGGAGGAGGAGGAGGAGGAGGAGGAGGAGAGAGGAGGAGAGAGGAGGAAAAGGAGCAAGAGGAGGAGGAGCGAGCGAGCCAGCGAGCGAGCGAGCGAGCGACCTGGGCAACGGTTCGGCATGGGCGTTTAAGAAGAGCGCAAGCCTGGGGAAATTGGCGCCTGTCAGCGTCCTGAGGTTGCTGCTGGTGCAATTCAGGGCGAGGCGCTGGGGCGCCTGATGGGATCTGGTGGGGCCTATTGAGCCTTGGGCCCATCGTCGGCCCTAAGACGTCTCGAATCTCCGAACTTGCGCAAAAAGAGAAGGCGAAACACTGGGTACAACCCTCCCGAACCTGCAGAATTACTTGGACTACATTATTGTGGACGCTAGGGCAGGCAGAATGTACGATCGACTTCAATGCGCATCACGTGCTTACACTGCTATATGATAACGCGCATGCAGGCTCATACGATTGAGAAATGTTATGGGAGGACGACGAGGAGCGAGGAGGAGGAGGAGGAGGAGAGAGAACGACGAGGAGGAGGAAGCAAGAGCGTGGAGGAGCAAGGAAGCCGCAGCAGGAGGATGAAGCAGGAGGACCAAAAAAGGCAAAGAAGAGACGGGGGAGGACGAGCAGCAGCGGCACGCGCGGCTGCACGAGGGAGAGCCCGAGACCCGGCCGGAAAGAAACGGCGGGCCCTGCCCCCCCCTGCTGTTTTTTTCAACAGTCTGGAACGATCGGGCGACCGCTCGAGACGACGGAGATCGGGGGCAGCAGCGCCAGCTCACTGCGGTGCCGGCGTGATTCCCATGGGTATTAGCGCCTGAGCGGGCGCCGTCTTGGCCAGTGTCTGCCATATGGCCTGCTCTGCCTGCGTCACGTGGTCTGGCCTGCCCGTGATGGTGAGCGCGCCAGAATCGCTGCCGGGAGTGTGGTCGACCTTGATGTTCGCAAACGGGTTCTGCCGCCGTATGGCTGTGATATGGGCACCACCATGGCCCAGCAGTGGCTTGATCAGGCTGGAGGGAACTGGAATGCGCTTGAATCCACCGTTCGCCCCAGTAATCACCTGGCCATGAAAGCAAAGGGGGTTCTGAAGGAAACGGGTCCTGGACCAGCTTTTCATCCTGAAGTCACTGTGTCGACGGCCCCAGGAGGCAGAAGACATCGACAAGTCTCAAGACCCCTGTCCGTCAGGACCCATTTCCTCTTCATGGAGAGACACGGATGGAGAGAGGAGGTTTCTGGAGGTTCACGCGGAGGTTCCAAAAACGTCCACTAGCCTCGAACCTCGAACACCCCGCGGGCTCTTGAGGATCTCGAGCACTTCCCCTGGATGATGAGACGTGTTTCGGCGGCCACGGGAAACGGTCTCCAAAGCTGAAAACGTTGAAGAACGGCCGACGCTGTATTTTTCGGACGCCCAAATGGATCCTCGAACCTCCATCCTCGACGGATCACCTTTGGCTGCACCGCGGGCGGGACCGCGCTGGGCGTGCTGAAGCCGGCCGCCTGGTGGGCGCCCACCGGCACCGCCAAGACGCCACTCCTGGTCTTGGCATCCTTGGGGGTGGCGCCAACATAGAGTCGAAAAGAAATCGCAGAAGAAACAACATCATAATAAACACGAACCTTGGGACATCGTGCAAATTCAGGCGAACTACGCAACATACATGGCAAGCCCGTCGGACGACCCCGACAGCACGCTACCGTTGGAAACCGGCCAGTATTTTATGGCAAGAGAATCGAAAACACGTGCATGTCATTAATCCTCTGGACCCTAAGGGGGGCCAAGAGAGGCCCCAAAGGGAACACGAACGGACACCTCGAGCCATCCGCCTCAAGACGACCTCCAAGACCGCCAGCGGGCCCCCAAGCCCCCCAGAAGCTCCAGGACGACCCCTAAGAGGCCCAAATCAGGCTCCAGGGGGTCTCTAAGAGGCCCAAGGGACATCCCCAAGCCGCCTACAAGAGGCTCTCTAGAGGCCTCCCAAGAGATTACAACAGGTATCTAAGAGGCCTCTGACATGCAACCCAGGTACGGTGACAGGATGGGCCGAAGGTCACTAGATCCGCCGCCCCCTGTCGATTCATCGCAGGGGTGCCTGGCGTGCTAGACCCTTTCGGTTTTGGTTTTGGTTCTTTTTCCAAAAGAATCGAAGACGCCTACGGCGAACCACCGCCGCCCCCTGCCTTTGTGGAAGCGCCTATGTGGCCGAACGTTGAGGTCAGACCTGCCAAGCTATCGGACCATTTGTTCCCCCAATCGGTTTGGAAAGCCTTCGGGGAAAACGTGGGCACCTTGAAGGTCATCTTGGCCGCCTGGAGGCCATTTTGATTATTTCGGGCCTTCTTGGGGGACGTCTTGGAGGGCTCTTGGACCGTCTCGGAGGCCATCTTGAGCGTCTTGGAGACCTCTAAGCCCGTCTTGGGGTGGGGGCCTCTTGGGGCCGTGTCTTGGGCCTCTTGGGCGATCTTTGGGGGCACTTGGGCCGTCTTGAGCCGTCGGAAGGCCGAAAAGAAGCAAATTCCCAAATCCTTCAAAAATCTCAGGACAATCAATGATTTTGGCCCCTCCGGGCCCTCCTGGAGGACCTCCTGCAGGCCGCTTGGGCCGTATCGGAGGCCTCTGGGGGGCCTCTTGGGCCGTCTTGGGCCGTCTTGGACTCTCTTGGGCCGTCTTGGAGGCCGTCTTGGACCATCTTGGGCGGACTTGGAGGCCATCTTGGGCCATCTTCGCAATTTGTTGAGGATGTCCCGAGCGAAACTGCCGTTTTTGGAAGGATGTTTTGTGCACGTTCGCGATTGTTTGAGGATGTCCCTAGCGAAACGGCCGTTTTGGGGAGGATTTGTTGTGCGCGTTGCGGTTTTTTGAGGATGCCCCGAGCGAACGGCACGGTGGCGGGACGGGCCGAAACCCACTGGAGTTCTTTTGGAAAAAAAATCAAAACCAAAACCGAGAGGTCTAGCACGCCAGGCACCCCTGCGATGAATCGACAGGGGGCGGAGGACTCCCACTGGGGCTTCGGCCCGTCCCGCCGGGGTCCCGGGAGGATTGCCCATGATTGGTCCATTTTGCCAGTGGCACATGCTGCTTGAGGAAACGAACGAAGCACGGGCAAGCTAGGCTGGCTAGTGCGACACAGATTTGCTCCAGGCACGGATTAAAGGAGGCATTGGGCTGGCGAGGGCCGAAGAGAAGTGCCTGTGAGATAAATGGCGGCAGACATTCACAATCATTCCCGTGCATCACTTACATGATTGGTCCATTTTGCCAGTGGCACATGCTGCTTGAGGAAATGAACGAAGCACGGGCAAGCTAGGCTGGCTAGTGCGACACAGATTTGCCAACCTCCAAAAAGCCCGACCTCAAGCATTGAACTGGGGATTTATATTCCTCGCATGTGTTTCCACCTTCCGATGGACTGCTGGGCTATACATGACTTGTGCAGGCTGTCAGCCAAGAGTGCACACAGAGCAGAAGGGTAGGCGTTTTTCATTAGCGTGCAAAACTTATTGCCAGAAAAACCTGTGAGCTCCACGTGGGGCTTACGGGAGAAGCTACATATACCTCTGCCAGTGCATACTAGTTTATCAAGACCAGGGTGGGGCGCGCACTTCCAGAACCGAATCCTGGTTCGAGCTCCGAAGGGGCGCCCACAGGCACAGTAGTCCACAACCTTATCACACACCTGAGGGAGCTTGGCGAAGGAGCGACGATCAGGGCGCAGCCACAGAAAGCTCTGCCAGGGATTTTCTTCGGCTCCTGGCACATTCAGTTTATAACACAGGCGTTGAATTCGCTGGGACACCCACCCTAGCCTATTGGAGACAGTGAGGCTTTCGAGGTCCTTGCCCGAAAGACCTGGAAGACCCATGGGACACGAGGGGCTTCTAAGGGCGGAGGGCATCTTGCTGTGCCTAGGGGCCCGTCGGGCCCTCGAGTACCCACTGCAGGGCGTCCCAAGAAACACGAGCTTTACAAGGCCAGAAGAAATCCAACCTCTCAAAACCTTAAAAACAGCCGGGCGAGTCAGATCAAAATGGGCACCGTGGCGAAGGTCCCACTCGATGACTGCCTCTCCTCTCTGCCTCAGGTGTTTACTCAATACCCCACATCCAGAGAAGACTTCTATGCATACGCGGGACTGGTGCGGCGCGGAGCGAAGTGCAGCACCAAGGACCTGTTGAAGGCGAGCGCGCAATCCTGTCCTCTGGCTCGCAGGGCCTCGCGCTGCCTGGACGACAGCTTGCGAAGCTCGAGGGACAGACGGCCATGCTTTTCGTACCTGAGCACTGACTTGAACGTCTTCCATCCCCCGCGCTGCTGGACGCCGCCTAAGCTTCTGACGCCCATGCTGCGGTCCTGGCTGGCCCCTCCATGCCGGAGGGAGTAGAGGGTGGGCCTGAGTGCACCCACATCCAGCGCCTCGATCGCGCTCTGGAAGTCCTCCGCCAGCTCTGTGTAGCTCAGGCCCAGGAACAGCGCGTCGGGCTCTCGAAGGGCTTGAACGAAGGAGATCGGCTTCACCAGCCACTGTTGCCTCTGGAGGTCGAGGGGCACTGAGAGGTCGTACTCGTTGGTCTTTGTGGGGACCTCGTACTCCGATGCTCGCACCACAAAGGTCAGAAAGGCTGAGGCGCCACCTTCCTCCGGAAGGGGGAGCACCACCTGGCGGGCTCGCAAAGCCAGAACCTCCGACGGGCGCATGTAGGTCTCGAACATTATCACGATGGCGAGGGCGCTCAACGGCTTTCCAGCTTGGCACAGCCAGGTTGCCGCCGCCAGCATCACGAGGTACGGCACGGGCGGCCTGGACTTGGAGGGCTCCAGCACCCCCCATCCTCGCAGCGTCTGGTGGGTCAGCGGGAAGACTTCGCGGATACCAGCCGTATGCAGGTGGGGCTCCGCCCACAACAGTGCCGGGGCCAGCCGCTGCGTCGACGCCTTCGAGCCCCCCCTGTCGTAGATCGACTCGATGTACTCGGCGAGGGTCTCGTCCCAGGTCTGGCGGCTCCAGTCCGGGAGGCAGCCCAGACACAGCCAGCGAACCAGACCAAGGACAGCTCCAAGATACAGCTGCTGCGTGGCGAAGCGCACCTTGGCCGCCGCAAGCCGCGTCTGGCGGGGGCACAGGCGCCGCCTCCTCTGGTCGAGGTCTCTCTCCCAGGGATCCTGGCCACGCCTTGCGCGCCGCCCAGCCGCGACGAGCCTGCTCCTTGGCCCAGCCAGCGCCGGGACGCCTGCCGCGCGGGCCTGGCGACGAGGTGAGCGCCACCGCGGCCGCGCCTGCGGGCGGCCCGTAGGGGGGCTGCCATTGCCCCGCGGCTGCTGCACCGTCAGGCGCTCCACCGTGCGGCTGCAGGGCGAACGGCTCCTGCGCAAGCTCCGCTCGCGAAGGGCGGAGCGGGGGCGGGGCCGCCTCGCTGGGCTCGCCGGCGTCGGCAGCTTTGCCTGCAGCGTCGCCACCTCCATCCCGCCCGGCGTCGGCAGCCGCGGGGACCCCGTCGGGGCCGCGAGGCTTGGGCTGAAAGCGACGGGAGGGTGCATCACTTGGGTTCCACTCGGACGGAATCCACCTCACCTGGATCTTAAGATCGGCGGCAATACCCACAGCAAGCAGCACACGACAGACTCCCAGAAGACGATGATTAGCCGCTCGACCCTTTGCAGCCGCGAGGGTGAGAGACATGTTATCGCCCAGAAAAAGCCTGCGGGCGCCGTGCTGGCGCGCATCTCTGCCGGCCCGCCTCACGGCCCAGGTGAGGGCGGCGCCCTCGAGCCCGTGGATCGCTTCCTTCCGCTTCCACCTTCCGCAGCCTACCACTCGCCAGGTCCTGGACTGCAGCGTGCTGTGGCTGACCTCCGGAAAGCGGGCGGCGCGCCCGACGAGCAGCAGGGCGGGGTCGGGCGCGCAGGCGACCTCGTGCTCGAACGCCCTCTCGCGAGGCGCGCCCTCGGTCGCGAGCACGCCTCTGAAGCGGGCGCGCTCAGACACCCTCCCCACGCGCTGCACGTCGCCCAGGCCCCACTCGGTCTCGACGACTCCATACCCCCAAGGGGAGGCGTCGAAGCACGTGACGAGCTCCGACCAGGGCCGTCTGGTGTCCGACCGGAGGCAGGGCAGGAGCGCCTTGACCCAGCCCAGCTCGCGGAGGACGCTCTTCCAGAGGGGCTGCCGCTTGGTGTAGGAGGCCTGCACGAACTCGCACGAAGAATGAAGCAAAGCCAGACCTTCACGCCGCAGCATGAACGCTGCCACGATGTGACCAATCAGGCGCTCCAGCTCCTGGCCCGAGACCTTGACTCTCCGGGAGAGAAGGTGTTCGAGCGCGCCATACAGGCGCCACAGACGGCGGCCAGACACCTGCCAGCAGCCTGTGCGAAGGTCAAGCTCGCACCCGAGCAGCTCGCCCACCTCGCTGGCCTGGGGGTCCAACTCGGACACCACTCCCTTGGCCGCGAGTGCCGCCTTCATGTCATAGGCGGCCTGGGCAGCGCGCTGGGGCGAGGCAGACAGCACGGCGAAATTGTCGATATACAAAACCTTGGCGTCCTCCACGCTCAGGTCTATCCCCGGGTGCTTGTCCACGCACCACGGCTGGGACGGCAAAACTGACTTGACGATGTGGAGGTGAGCCTCCTGGATGAAGTGAACGGCCCAGTTCCAGCCCATCGGCACGACCTTGAAACGAAAACGGACCTGGCCGCTCTTCCCTGACAACCCACAGGCGTTCCTGACCTCGAGCGGCAAGAAGCGACTCTGAATAGTCGGCAGGTTGAAGTAGCGCCTACACCAGGGCGGAAGTGAGTATTGATAGAAACAGCAGTCAACATCTCCAGAACTCATGCCGATGAAGTTCACCCCCGACGCCTCCAGTGAGGAGAGAGCCTCGCCCGTCGCAAGGGCGGTGTGGTTAGGAACAGTAAAGTGCATGTTGGGCGTCCTGGTGTCGCAGATGAGACGCAGCCGCTTATCCTTGCGGGCGACGAAGAACATGCCCGCCTCTTCGAGCACCGGCTCTGAGCTGCACTCGATGACCCCCGAGGCGAAGAGCTCGCCCAGCGCGTGGCCATAGTCGTAGCCCAGGCGGCCCAGCTTTGGGTCCATGGCGCGAGGAGCACCTGCATCACGAATTAGCGCTGCTGCCTCCTCAGGGGAACGCAACAGCCCGTGCCCAGACTCCAGCTTGGATTGCAGATCAGCAGGAAGGACGTCCACGAGGGGGACCTTGCCAGCACCGATCTTGGGAAGCGAGATGTTCCCCCGCTGGTAGACTGTTCGAGCACCTGCGGCCTCGGCTTCAGAGTAGCCAGGCCTGAGACCCTGCAGCAACGACCATGCCGCATGGGGACTTGGACGATCAACGGGCGGAGACCACTTGCCGTAAAGCGAGGCCAGCCGCCGCACGGCCACACGTTGGGCCGCCGTCAGCGGGGCGTGGCTGGGCACCTGTCGCCCCTGCCCGCCCAGCTCATTGAGGGAGGCGATGCCCTCGAGAAGCCACTGGTCCTGCCGCCTCCTCGTGGCTGATCTCCGCTTCGCCGATGGAGAGGTGCCCCATGCGCCTTCACCACTGAGCAAGGAACGAAGCTCTGCGCCAACAGGAATCGGCAGGAGGTCTCGATGACGGCCTCCGACGTCCTCATCTGAAAACATAGCGCCCACGCGGCGCCTCCCCTTGAAAATAGTCGACCGCTCGGGGGCAGGCGGGCGACCAAGCCACTTCTTGAACAGGATGAGGGCGTCAGGCCCTCTCGGCCACGCCCTTCGCCTTGGCCTTTGACCTGGCCTTGGCAGGGGCTCCACTGTCGTCATCTCCTCCACCCGGGCCGACACCGCGAGCCAGGATCTTCTCCTCGCGACCCTTGCGGCGCTCCTTGAGCACCGCTGCCTCGGCCTGGAGGCGGTCCGCCACCCAGGTCTGCAGCTCAGGGCAGACGAGCGCTCCTCCTCTGCCCCGCTCCTGGCCAAGAAAGATCTCGCGCTCATCCAGCCACGCCGAACTCCCTGAGCTGCGCAGCGCACCACTCTCGTGCTCGCGCAGCCTGTTGGCGTAGATCTCCTCCCAGAGCTGGTAGCGCCTCGCGACCGTCTCGTACACTGCCAGCTCACCTTCATTAAGCTGGTCCGTCTGAGCCCCCCCCCCATTTCGAGGAGCTCCGACAAGAACTGGTGCTCGTCAACGCCTGCGTCCGCTGCCGCGAGGTTCTGAGTCTGACGCCACCACTGGTGCCGCTGCAAGGGCGTCTGACCGAGTCGCTTGAACTGCTGCACCAGCCACAGGGTCGTGCGGGGGCCCTTGATAGGCCAGTCGGGCATGGCGGTCGAGGACATCCGATCCACCGCATCGGTGAAGTCCCTGACGCGGACGCCACGCGCGTCATACCTGACAGGAAGCGTCCGCAAGTCCTGCTCGGCTGCCGCCCGTGGCGTGGCGGTGCTCTCCAGCGTCCCCTCTTTGGCCACAGCCAGCACGGTGCCGTCGGTGAGCTCGCAGACGCCACGGTCGCCCAGAACGGCCTCGGGCTGCTGCAGCCCGATCTCGTCTCCAGGTTTGTAGCCAGCCCGCTCCTCGGCGGCCACCCAGCGAACAGACTTGCCAGCGCCACCAGCGCGAGCAGCGCCGCCCTGAGCGGCCCCTGGGGCGCCTGGGGGCGGCGGCAGGGGAAGCTGGGCAGCATCCCCGTCGGCGGCGGCGTCGGCGAGGGCGCCAGGCGGGCCCTCTGGGAGCCCCTCGGCCTCGCGGATCTCCTTGGCCAGCTGACGGCCCTCCCCGAGCAGTCGCGCCTCGTTGTGCCTGAACCTGTCCATGTCCAGGCGCAGGATGTGCCCGTTGAGCTTGGTGGGCAGCCCCCCTCGGGGGCCGATGAGGCAGAGCGCGAGGCACTCCGAGAAGTCCTCCTCGTAGATGTCGAAGTGTGGGGTGACCACAATGAAGCGAGTGTCGGTAACCTTCCCGATGATATATCTTTCATGCCAGTAGTTGTCGTCTCGATCGTAGTAGGCGAGGACCCTGCACCCGATCGATAGGCTCTCCAACGCCCTGGCCGTGCGCGCTGCTGACATCAATCGGCTCCGCGGTCACGGGAGCAGAGCGACGGCCGAACACACAGGCGACCTCGCGCAGCACCGCGCCCAGCACAAGCCCCAACAATAGCGCCAGGACCACCTCGAGCCCGGTGTGCCCGGGCGGGCAAGGGGCGCAGGCTGGGCAGTCAGGTGCAAAGGCGGGCTGCCCGTGGAGGTGCTCTGGACCGCACCTGTCGAGCTGCCCCTTGAGCAGCCCGATCAGCGCCTCGTCCGGCGAGGCCTCGAAGTGGCAGGAGCACTCGCACCCGTGCCCCTGGTGGGTGCCGCCCAGCCAGGTGCCCAGCGCCTGCCCGCTGATGGCCGCAGCCCACTGCGCGCCAGCGCCGAGGAGCCGCCCTGCCATCAACGATGCCTCTTCCCGAAGAGAAGTGCCTGTGAGATAAATGGCGGCAGACATTCACAATCATTCCCGTGCATCACTTACAGGACCCCAACGTGCACAAAAAATCCTCCAAGACTGCTCAAGATGGCGTCCAAGATGGCCAAGATGGCCCAAGATGGCCTCCAAGATGGTCCAAGATTGCCTCCAAGTCCGCCCAAAAATGGTCCAAGACGGCTTCCAAGACGGCCCAAGAGAGTCCAAGACGGCCCAAGAGGCCCCACAGAGGCCTCCAAGACGGCCCAAGAGGCCTCCAAGAGGTCCTCCAGGAGGGCCCGAAGAGGCCGAAATCATTGATTTTCCTTTCGGTTTTGAAGGGTTTTGGAATTTGCTTCTTCTCGGCAGTCCGACTGCTCAAGACGGCCCAAGAGGCACCCAAGATCGCCCAAGAGGCCCCCAAGAGGGCCCCATGACGGCCCAAGTGGCCTCCAAGACGGCCCCAAGAGGGCCCCACGACGGCCCAAGAGGCCTCCAACACGCCCAAGATGGCCTCCAAGACGCCCAAGATGGCCTCCAAGACGGCCCCGAAGCGCCCCAAGAGGGTCCCCCGTTGGCCCAGAAAGGCCCCCAAGACGGCTCCCGACGGCGTCAGACGTGTCAGGAACCCACCAAGATGGCCGAAGTTGGCTCGAAGCTGGCCCAAGACGGCCCCCTAGAGGCCCCCAAGAGGCCCTCCAGGAAGGCCAGAAGAGGGAGGCCAAAAACCTTGATTGTCCTGAAGTGTTTGACGGATTGTGACATTTCCTTCTTTTCGGCCTTCCGACGGCCCGAGACGGCCCAAGAGCCCACAAAGATCGCCGAAAGATCGCCCAAGAGGCCTCCAAGATGTCCCCAGAACGGCCCAAGAGGGCCCAAAGACAGCCCCAAGAGGCCCCCAAGACGGTACAGGAGGCCTTTAAGACGCCCAAGATGGCGTCCAAGACGGCCCTGGAGCATTCCAAGAGGGCCCCAAGTCGGCCCATAGAGGCCCCCCAAACGGCTTCCGACGGCGTCAGACGGATCAGGAGCCCACCAACACGGCCGAACATGGCCCTGAGATGGCCCAAGACGGCCAAGAGGCATCCAAGAGGGAATCTAGGAAGGCCCGAAAAGGCCAAAATCATTGTTTTCCCATGTACTTTTGAAGGATGTATTGTGGCATTTGCTTGTTTTCTGACTTCTGACGGCCCGAGACGGCCCAAGTGCCCCCAAAGATTGCCCAAGAGGCCCAAGACACGGCCCCAAGAGACCCCCAAGACGGCCCAAGAGGCCTCCAAGACGCTCAAGATGGTCTCCAAGACGGCCCAAGAGCCCTCCAAGACGTTCTCCAAGAAGGCCCGAAAGAATCAAAATGGCCTCCAGGCGGCCAAGATGACCTTCAAGATGCCCACGTGTTCCCCGAAGACTTTCCAAACCGATTCGGGGAGCACATGGTCCGAAAGCTTGTCAGGTCTGGCCTCAACGTTCGGCCACCGGCGGTGATTCGCCGTAAGCGTCTTCGATCCGCCGCCCCCTGTCGATTCGTCGCAGGAGTGCCTGGCGTGCTAGATCCTTTCGGTTTTGGTTTTGGTTCTTTTTCCGCAAGAACTCCCCCTGGCGCTTCGGCCCGTCCAAAGATGGCCCAAGAGGCTCCCCAGAGGCCTCCCAGACGGCCCAAGAGGCCTCCAAGAGGTCCTCCAGGAGGGCCCGAAGAGGCCGAAACTATTATTTTGTTTCAGGTTGTTGAAGGATTTTGGAATATGCTTCTTCTCGGCAGTCCGACTGCTCAAGACGGCCCAAGAGGCACCCAAGATCGCCCAAGAGGCCCCCCAAAGGGCCCCATGACGGCCCAAGTGGCCTCCAAGACGGCCCCAAGAGGGCCCCAAGACGGCCCAAGAGGCCTCCAACACGCCCAAGATGGCCTCCAAGACGCCCAAGATGGCCTCCAAGACGGCCCCGAGGCGCCCCAAGAAGGTCCCCCGTTGGCCCAGAAAGGCCCCCAAGACGGCCCCCGACGGCGTCAGACGTGTCAGGAACCCACCAAGATGGCCGAAGTTGGCTCGAAGCTGGCCCAAGACGGCCCAAGAGGCCCCCAAGAGGGCCTCCAGGAAGGCCAGAAGAGGCCAAAAACATTGAGTTTCCTTAGGTTGTTGACGGATTTTGACATTTCCTTCTTTTCGGCCTTCCGACGGCCCGAGACGGCCCAAGAGCCCCCAAAGATCTCGGAAAGATCGCCCAAGAGGCCTCCAAGACGGCCAAGATGACCTTCAAGATGCCCACGTGTTCCCCGAAGGCTTTCCAAACTGATGCGGGGAACACATGGTCCGATGGCTTGGCAGGTCTGGCCTCCACGTTCGGCCACATAGGCGCTTCCAAGAAGACAGGGGGCGGCAGTGGTTCGCCGCAGGCGTCTTCGATCCGCCGCCCCCTTTTGATTTATCAAAGGGGTGCCTGGCGTGTTAAATCCTATCGGTTTTGATGTTGGTTCTTTTTCCAAAAGGACTCCCCCTGGGGCTCCGGCCCGTCCCGCCGGCCAGCTGGAAGACCCGGTGACAAACGCCAGAAATGGCCGTTTCGCTCGGGACATCCTCAAACAATCGCGAAGATGGGCCAAGATGGCCTGCAAGATGCCTCCAAGACAACCAAGATGGCCTCCAAGACGGCTAAGATGGCCCCAAGATGCATTCAAGACGGCCTCAAGACGGCCCAAGATGGCCCCAATATGGTCTAAGACGGCCCAAAAGGCCCGCAAGAGGCCTCCAAGACGGCCCAAGAGGCCTCCAAGAGATCCTCCAGGAAGGCCCGACGAGGCCCAAATCCTTGATTGTCCTTCGGTTTTTGAAAGTTTGGCATTTGCGCCTTTTCGGCTTTCCGACGGCCCGTGACAGCCCCAGAAGCCGCCAAGGTCGCCCCAAGATCGCCCAAGAGGCCTCCAAGATGGCCCCATGACGGCCCAAGAGGCCTCCAAGATGGCCCAAAGAGGGCGCCAAGACGGCCCAAGAGGCCTCGAAGGCGCACAAGATGGCCTCTAAGACGGCCCTGGAGCACCCCAAGAGGGCCCCAAGTCGGCCCAGAAAGACTCCCGACACGGCTTCCGACGGCGTCAGACGGGCCAGGAGCCCACCAAGATGGCCGAAGGTGGCTCGCAGCTGGCCCAAGACGGCCCAAGAGGCCTCCAAAAGGGTCTCCAGGAAGGCCAACAAAGAGCCAAAAATATTAATTTTCCGAAGGTTGTTGAAGGATTTGACATTTGCTTCTTTTCGGCCTGCCGACGGCCCGAGACGGCCCAAGAGCACCCAAAGATCGCTCAAGGATCGCCCAAGAGGCCTCCAAGATGGCCCCAGAACGGCCCAAGAGGCCCCAAGAGGCCCCCAAGACGGCCCAAGAGGCCTCCAAGACACTCAAGATGGCCTCCAAGACGGCCCACGAGCCCTCCAAGACGTCCTCCAAGAAGGCCCGAAAGAATCAAAATGGCCTCCAGGCGGCCAAGATGACCTTCAAAATGCCCACGTGTTCCCCGAAGGCTTTCCAAACCGATTCGGGGAACACATGGTCCGAAAGCTTGGCAGGTCTGGCCTCAACGTTCGGCCACATAGGCGCTTCCACAAAGGCAGGGGGCGGCGGTGATTCGCCGTAGGCGTCTTCGATCCGCCGCCCCCTGTCGACTCATCGCAGGGGTGCCTTGCGTGCCAAACGATATGTTTTTTGGTTTTGGTTCTTGTTCCGAAAGAACTCCCTCCGGAGCTTCAGCCCGTCCCGCCGGCCACCTGGAAAGGATCTCAAGGAGCTCAATCCGGAAAACAAGTTTCCAAGATGGCTCAAGATGGCCTCCAAGATGACCACGTTGGCCCAAGATGGCCTCCAAGATGGTCCAAGATGGCCTCCAAGTCCGCCCAAGATGGTCCAAGACGGCCTCCACAACGGCCCAAGAGAGTCCAAGATACCTCCAAGGTCGCCCAAGAAGCCTCCAAGACGGCCCAAGACAACCCAAGAGGCAGAGGTCCTCCAGGAGGGCCCGAAGATGCCAAAATCAATGATGTTCCTTAAGTTTTTGACGGATTTTGGCGTGCCAAACGATATGGTGTTTGGTTTTGGTTCTTGTTCCGAAAGAACTCCCTCTGGAGCTTCAGCCCGTCCCGCCGGCCACCTGGAAAGGATCTCAAGGAGCTCAATCCGGAAAACAAGTTTCCAAGATGGCTCAAGATGGCCTCCAAGATGACC